AGCTGTCATTAGCACAGTCAAACAAAAGCACGTTAAAACAAACACTGGTACAGTTGGTTATAATAATAATTGTTTTTTATTAAACCAGTCGTGTTCTCGTGATAAACGTGAGTCACTACAAAACCAACTGTATTGATTGTAATTAAGTTACACATGTAATCAGAACAGCTAAACTTGTCTAACTTCAAATACGGATGTTTTTATAGAACAAAGTCTTTTCAAAAGACACTGGATACATCAAAGTTACTAATTCCTAGGAGCTAGCGGTAAGTCTCTCACTCTTATCGGTGGGGAACACTACTGAATTTCCATAAGTGGACTGCATATTTGCCAGCATATCAGTAAAGTGAACAAATTGGTATCGTAAACTTGATTTTGCTTCACTGAAATTCGTTCATACAACTTTCACGACTTCAGCAGAGATATGTAAGGCTGCGTTAGGGTCAACGTTGGAGTATTTACCAAGGTATTAACACGAACTTTCAAACGACACAGTTACTTATGTTATTCAGTAGTTCGGCTTCAAATAATAATTGGTTCCTAGTATTTGCGCATTGATATTCAGCAGAAAAATATACACTCCTGTCCGCTCATTTGTTCTGCATTAGCATAAAGTAGCGACCAACAAATGAAATTCTAGCCCGTGAGAGTACTCAGATGAAAAGTCATTAGGATACAAGTGACTCTAATAAGTGGTAAGGCATCATCACTTCTCTGAACACTTCATTTAATATAGGAAAATAAACTTTCAGGACAGTCCAGGGAGAATCGATCCACTTTTGTCTGGATATGACATAGTCTTTGGTATCATGACGTTACATGCATCAACAGTCTAATCGTATTCTCGCCTGTACTGTCAAGAGCCAATCAAATGGACGGTTTCCTAAACCTTTCTCTACGTCTGAGAAGTTTTCAGCCACGTTTTTATAGTTGGAGACAGTCGACAGTTCTAAACAGGCTAATCATGGAATAAATGGCGATTTCAAGGATGTTATGATACTTCTGAGCCTAAACTATGGTTTACCATAGTTATTGAGACCCTGTCATTGAACGTATAGTCAAACAGAAGGAACCTCAACCAATCTATCAAAAGTGTGTCAACGTCCCTTGGTACCGGAGGCTGGTTACTGTAGGGTTGTTGATAAAATATTGGACTGTGACCAAATCAGCATTCCGTTCTCAATGTAATTCTGACGCTGGTTAACGTATATGTTGGGTAATTTGTCGCAGCCTGCCAAGGCCAACGATGACCTGTGAGGACTAAGAAATAACACCGAAAACAAGCCATATCCCTCTTCAAGTTGAATGTACTCCGACGTTAGGGCACTGACTATTGAATGTTGAGTGTTTGATGAGCAGAGAAAAATTAAGAAAAGACGAAAAGAACTGAACCCACGGAGTGTATGACACAGCGCCTCAGGTATGGCCGTATCACTTACACCGTAATCTTAAATAAACCATTTAGCTGTTAAGATATTATTCATTATTCGAAACATCTTAAGAATCAGGGTGGTACGTCAGGATAAAAGATTGTGCAACGTTTGTGTAGGATTACATAGGTTGGACGGTCACATCATGTTTAGTAAACTAAACTAGACGAAGACTATTAATTTTGTAGCAGTAGTAAAACCGTCAGAATTATCGTGGTCCTAAATTTAGCAGGACAACAATGATAAATTGCTTAAGTCAGCCGGCCAGTGTGAACTATCTCAACAATATTTCAATACTACTTCGACATCAGTAAAGCACTCCCAAGCAAGTCAGTATTAATTCTTCAAACCGAGAGTAGAAAAGAGTGGTAACCAGGCCACGTGTGGTTTCGTGAGCAAGTCAACTCAACAAAGTGAAAGGTGAGCAGTAATAAAGGATTAAGGTCTACGACTGTGATGCTGCCCTTATATATGCTACCAAAATAAAAGATAAAATCCATTATTGTGGACTTTCCATGGTTTAACTACCTGATCTTGCTTGAAAGCGTCACCACTGTCCTATCGCAACTGTCGTCCTATCGTGACAGTCGCTAAGGCTTTTTTATGAACCACCACAAAATGCATTCGAAGTGGTTACAAAATAATTTTTTTGATATAAAGTCTAAGTGGTTATATGACCACGCCTGCGTGGCCGAACCATAAAATCTCGGTTGCATGTTTTCCCATCGAAATGTTTCCAAACTTCTTCCAGTACTCAACGTTTATTGTAAGCCTCCTCAGTCTTGGTGTGCTCAACTCTAAGGTCATTTGATAAGAAACCAACGTCAATGCAACAATATTACACTAGAATCGACCTGAACTTGATTCGATTCTAGACCAGGTGGAATCATCACATGCCGAATGTTGCCTACAGTCCTATAATAATTCTCCGGGTATAGATAAAATGGAGGACAACTAAAAAATGGTGACAGCAAGTGATCGTGAAATACATATGTCAAATCTAAGGAATTTTGTTTCATCCTTGATTCATGCAGAAGGAAAATTTAAGCACAGTTTATGTGACGGTTAGGAGGGTTTGTTTACTTACTGACCTACTTACTTACTTACGCCCGTTACTCATCATAAAGGGTAAAGGCCGCCCACCAGCACTCTCCATCCAACCCTGTACTGGACAAGCCTTTCCTGCTCTTTCCAGGTGTTATTCGTATTTTTCACATCTGCTTTTATTTCCCGACGTAATGTGTTCTTTGGCCTTCCTCTTTTCCGCTTCCCTTCAGGATTCCAAGTTAGTGCTTGCCTCGTGATGCAGTTTGATGATTTGCGTTATGTATGTCCTATCTATCTCCATCGTCTTGTCCTACTTTCGTCTTCAGCTGGAAGTTGGTTTGTTCTCTCCCAGAGAAAGCTGTTGCTGATGGTATCCGGCCAATGGATGCTGAATATCTTGCGTAGAAAACTATTTATAAATACTTGTACCTTCTTGATGATGTTAAAATAGTTCTTCAAGTTTTCGCTCCGTACAGTAGAAATGTCTTGGCTTACGTATTGATATTGATCGAAAGTCTTTTTCGTAAGACACCAACCCATTAGGACTGACCAGACTTCCTAAATAAGTGAAGTTGCAACCCGATTTGCGTAAACTGTGTCCAAACCACCTCTGGTCACTGGATGTGTAGTATGTTTTATAGACAGCTGTTTATAAATACCTGTACCTTTCTGATGATGCTTGTGGTGGTTCTTTTCATTTCCGTACAGTGGAATCGTCTTAATGTTCATTTTGAAGATTCTGACTTTGATGTTGCGTGATAATTGATCTGGGTTCTGTATGTTCTTCAGTTATAGGATTTCTACCCTTGCCTTTGCATCCTCATTGGATCCTCATTTTTCGTCGATGGTGCTTCCTAGATATGTGAAAGTTCCCAACTCTTCCAGATCTCCATCGAGTGTGATTGAGTTGGTGTTCTCTATGTTATATTTGAGGATCTTGGTTTTTCCTTGTGTGTGTCGAGATCCACTGATGCTACACTGACTGTTTTGACCTGCATTTGTTGATGTGTATGGAACAGGAGAGCTAGGTCATCTGTGAAGTCTAAGTCGTCTAGGTGCATCCAGGCTGTTTACTGTATCCCGTGCTTCCTCTGAGAAACATAGGTCTTCACAGTCCAGACAACCAACAGAAGGAAGAGGAAGGTGGAGTGTAGACAGCCTTGTCTGACACCGGTCATTACTTGGAATGCATCTCTCAGCTGTCCTCTATGCACGACTTTGCAGTGTAGTCCATGGCATGAATTACGGATAATGTGAACGATTTTCTCAAGTACACCGTAGCGTCAAGGTTTCATAACATTCTCCTATTCATACTGTCAAATGCTTTTTCATAATCAAGGAAATTGATGTATAGTGACGAGTTCCATTTAACTGATTGTTCCGCAATTATCCGATATCTACTATCTGCTTTATTTATGCTCCTTTACTGTTCTTACCTTTAATTTCATCTTAGGGGAATGTACTTTGACAGCTTAAAATCATCCATGTTTGTGCCTAGTTCCGAGTTTGCTTTGACTGGCTGAATATGAACTGTGATTACTGAACCAATGTGTCTTATTTACATATCCATTTCACTTGCATCCACGAAAAGCTTAAGAACTGCCGTAATTGTCTACCAGAAAAATTAGTATTTTCACTTTTTGTTGATACATTTAAAATAGTTTGATCCTTGAAAATGTTATAAGTTATGTGGCTTAATATAACGTACCTGTTCTACGTTCTTACTGCTGACTTTCTACCTATTTAAATGTCATCCAAAAGCAAGCACTGAGGACTAGGATTCTACTGGTATTCGTTGCTTGAGAACTTTGTGGTCCGTAATTCCTTTTTATTCGAGGATCCCAAATACAGTCTGATCGATATTTGGGGGTGTCGGGGTTTGAGGATATATTTAGATGATAGCCGATTTGTCTAGAAGTATATAATCTTACCTGACTAGTTGTTATTGGAAACGCACAACACGGCATACCCAAACGTGATCTGGTGCAAATAAGTGACTAAGGATATCTAAATAATGGCATGTCCAGCGAAACTGATGAGGTCAACGTTAATATTGAGAACTTATGGAACCACTTATTTTGGAGATTTATTTACCTCTACAGGAGCAATATCCAGAAATGAGATACATGTCAAACTAGAGGGCAAGCACACCTTCCACGCCTTACGAGAGGAAAAGCTTTGAAATTGTTTGTAAACCAAGCAGTATCGAAAAAGTTCTCAGGAGTTCTTTAAGAGGAAGCTTGATTTATTAGGGGATTAAGACAATATTTCATATAAATTTATCAATATTTACACTTGGTTTATTTAATGTATTTAGGTCTTTGCTTAGAAGTAATGATGGTCCAGCGCCACTGAACATGTGAATCTATTAGGCGAAAGTTTCCTCTAATTTGCTAAAAACCTCCCGAGTCATCCGAATTCCAGGCATTGTACATTGTGTACCGCCTGTTTCAACTTGTTGCGCCTCTTCGATATGATTTGTCCTGGTTCTGTAAAGCCATCAGTCATTTAGGTCCTTAATATATGGATGATTCGGTAGAGGTAACATATTTTAAATGGGATAATTTCACGCTTCAGGATCCCGATCTCCTAAACGAAGAGACATTCGACTGTGCAGAGATAGGTTTGGGTCATTCTTATTATTATAACTTTCAGGTGACTGGGAGAACGAACATGATGAATTTGTGCAGAATTTTCATAAAGTTTGCGAAGAATCTCCAACCGCTGATGAACTACCAAAGTTCTGGAATGACACTGGTGGTCTTTCGTTCTTATGGCAAACGGATGACCTCGGTTGTGGTGTGACTGTGGATGATGGGGGCGAAAAAGTAAGTGAACAGATCACAGTTATATTTTCTGAAGGTTGTCGATGTTGAGGAAACACTTCAAAAGCTAGTATTAGATGAGACCTTTGAGGATCCTGCAATCCTAGATATATCCAGGAAGGTTTCTTACCAACAGCTCAACGAAGACTCATTTCAGCATCTGAGAAACGCACCTGCATATCCGACTGCTCCTACTGACATATTTGATAGGACTCGTGACATCTGGAGCATTGATGGTAGTTATGAGATTGGATATGGAAGTGGCAAGACCAGCACAGCTTCAGACTGTAATATGAAGTCGAAAAACGTAATCGATATACTCCGATCATTAAATGTTTACCCTCCACCATCTGTCAAGACTGTATCTATACCACCAGAAGCTTCTACAGAAAATTACTTGTCACGTAAGGTAGCTACAGAATCACAAACAAGAGAAGTCGGTACTGAATTATTCTCCAAAGCTTCTCAATCTTCAAGAAACCTCCAAAATATTGTACCAGTTAGTCAGCACAAATTGTATCCTAGCCCTGTGTTTTCTTCTGGGAATCGCGTCTGCCAGTCACAAGCAGTTCAAAATTCTCTATCTGTCCATGTGAGTGTTTTTCATACAACATTTGGAATTATGAATTTCTCCTTTCAATTATTGGGATTCTTGTTATTTCTACAGGTTGTTAGTCATTTTACTTTGCTATTTCAAACCTCATAAATTTTAAAACCTCGGAATTTTCTTTGTATTCAGATGTTTCATTATTTAACTACCGTTTGAATTAACTAGCATTTAAAAAAAACAAATTCTCAACTTCAATAAATCCAAACTAAATCTATAAAGTAGGCAGTTGTAGTAGTGGTATTTAGTTCGACTTGTTTTTGTCACCTTATAAGGGAGCACTCGCACTGCTCAAATTATTTGTTTCCGAGAGCGAAATAACAGTAGTAGATGTATGTAACTAAACACACGTATTACTACTTATAACTCGTTTTATGCTTATCATCGGCCATTGACAATATATTGCAACGTCCCATTACTTTAAGTTTTAATTTCTCTGCTTATAAGATAAATTCAAGGGATTTCATTGGTGGTTGTAGTGGCATACTTCATTTGATGTGTATTTCTTGATGTATTTCCATTTAAGCCAGTATAAACATGATTTAGATAGAAATTCATTCAATATTAATTCATGTTTCTTCACGAAGTCTTATATTTGACTCAACTTGTGGTCAGGGGTACTGAACATGCGATCAGTATACCATCTGAGTGGTACTTAACCGATTTGTATTGACATATACTCGACTTTGTAAACATTAGGAATAAGTTCTGGATAGTTCTTTACTCGATATTAAGTCTAATAGAGTCTTTTTATCCATTTTAGTTAGCATATTCCAAGCTTTATTATTTATTTATTTATTTTAACACATAGATATTGGTACAAGGAGGCACCAAATACATATGCGCCACAAAAATCTCATTCGATATGTGTGAGGGCTGTGATACTGCCCGGGTGCCCAAACCGAAGCAGGTGGTTTTCTTAGGAGGCCACTCCCCGAGCCTTCGACTTGAAGGCCTGATCCACAAGGCAGTGGAGCATCGTAAGGAGATGCAGTCCCATGGTAGCCGGTGACGAACAATTGATTCATACGCCATTTGTTCCCTTAGGATACTGGAGCCCATGTGCACCATTGGTTTGGAATCCGGTTAAAGCGCCAAACATTCGCTTTTCTTCCTCTCATTTTCGTAAACAACACCCCCGCCACGAGAAGACAGTGAGTAGAACTTCCCTGGCAGAGGCTATATACGCGTGGCCATGTGAGAGCATTTCGAGAGGGAGAGCGGACTCTCCCCACTCTCGGCCGTACCAGGGCATTTGGGGGCCCAAGCTTACAGAGTGTTTCAATAGAGTCACTCACTTTACTGAGCAAACCTGTAAGAAAAGCTAAGATTTCCATTGAAGTCTTCCAATCGGACTACATTGACCTCTTAAGATCTGACCAAAGTGCAACTGAATTTCATATCTAATTCACTACCCCTGAAGTACGATTAAAAATTGTTATCTTTGGTGGTGTGATAAAATCTAAGTTTTGAATGTGCAGGTTATCAATCATTTCCACAGGCAGCATACATTAAAGCTCTAAGGAAAATTAAACTTTGTTATGTAAAATACCCACTTAAAGCACTTGTTACAAGTGATTATTCACTCGTAATGTCCGTTAATTAAGGGTGGAAATACACCAAGATAAAAGCTGGAAAATATCAGTCAAATACTAGCATTCATTCGGTCCCAACGTTTTCTCGCAGTTTGGTGAAAGCTTTGAATTTAAATGTTCTTATAAGAGACTGGTATTCTAGTAGGATTAATTAACTGAAAACAGATTATGACCATACTATTCGAGTTATCCCGTAGAAAGTTGTTGATTCTGGTCAAATGAGAAATGTTTAACGACAGCCTTACTTACTTACGCCTGTTACTCCGATTTGAGCATAGGCCGCTCACTGGCATTCTCCAATCCACTCTGTCCTGGGCCTTCCTTTCTAGCTCTATCCAATTGTTGTTCATTCTTATGTCTGTATTCATTTCTCGGCGTAATGTGTTCTTTGATCTTCCTCTTTTCCTTTGGCCTTGAGGATTCCAGGTGGGGGCTTTCCTTGTGACGCAGTTGGGTGCTTTCCTCAATGTGTGTCCTATCCACTTCCAGCTCTTCTTCCTCCGCTGGGATCTGGTTTGTTCTTTCTCACAGTAGGTTGTTGCTGGTAGTGTCTGGTCAACGGATCCGAAGTATTGCTTAGACAACTGTTAATAAACGCTTGTATCTTTTGGATGATGGCTTTCGTACTTCTCCAAGTTTCCGCCCCATAGAGTAGAACTGTCCTGATATTTGTATTGAAAATTCTGACTTCGGTGTTGGTTGACAGTTGTTTTGAGTTCCAGATGTTCTTTATTTGTAGACATGCTGCTCTTGCTTTGCCTATCCGCGCCTTCACATATACATTAGATCTGCCGTGTTCATCAATGATGTCGCCCAGATATGTAAAGGTTTTTACATCTCCCAAATCTCCGTCAAGTGTGATTCGATTGTTGCATGCTGTGTTGTATCAGAGAATCTTGCTTTTCCCTTTGTGTATGTTAAGACCTACTGCTGCTACACTGATCGTCTTCTGCATTTGTTGTTGCATATGCGATGGGAAATCCAGATCATCTGCGAAGTTTAGATCGTCCAGCTGCATCCTAGATGTCCACTGTATCCCATGCCTCTCCCCAGATGTTGACGTCTTTATGATCCAGTCGATCACCAGGAGAAAGAGAAAGAGTGAGAGTAAGCAACCTTGCCTTACACCGGTCTTTACCTCGAACGAGTCTGTGACCTGTCCTCCATGCACGATTTTGCAGTTTAATCCATCATAGGAATACCGTATTATGTTGACTATCTTCTCAGGTACGCCGTAGTGTCGAAGAAGCCTCCGTAGTGTTGTTCTGTCCACGCTGTCAAATGCTTTCGCGTAGTCAATGAAGTTTATGTAGTGATGAATTCCATTCAATTGATTGTTCCACAATGATCCGTAGTGTTGCGATTCGGTCTGTACACGATCGATCCTTACGGAATCCAACCTGTTGGTTTCGAAGCTGGGCGTCTACGGAGTCCTACATTCTGTTTAACAATACCATGTTGAAGAATTTTCCTGGTATTGAGAGAAGAGTGATGCCCCTGTAGTTATCACTTGCTGAGATAGCCTTTTTCGGTATCTTGATCAGGTTTCCCTCTTTCCAGTCTGTTGGTACCTGTTCTTCATCCCAAATCTTGCTGAAGAGAATGTGGAGTATCTTTACAGTTACTGCTACGTCTGCTTTCAGTACCTCTGCTGTAATGTTGTCTGGCCCCGCTGCTTTGCCGCTCTTGATTTGTCTATTGGTCATGCTGATATCTTCAATTGTTGGTGGGCCAACATCAGTTGGGAGGTTCGTGGGTGTTGCTTCGATGTTGGGTGGGTTCAGTGGGGCCGGTCGATTCAAGAGTTCTTTGAAGTGCTCTACCCACCTGTTTCGTTGTTGGTGATTACTTTGCCTCCTTTGCTTTTCACTGGTCGTTCTGGTTTACGATAATTTCCGGCGAGACTTTTTGTTGTGACATACATGTTCCCTTCTCTTGAAGCCTTTTCTACCGTCATTGCTAGATCTTCCACACATTTACGTTTGTCGGCTCTCATGTTCCTCTTCATTTGCTTCTTTTCTTCTGTGTATTCAGCTTGCGCTTTGGTTTTCTCTGCTCTTGTCTGGCTGATATTGATTGCTGCCTTGTCCCTCCTTTCTCGAATCTTATCCAGTGTGTCAACAGTGATCCATTCCTTGTGATAGTGTTTCTTGTGGCCCAGAATCTCATGACATGCTGGAGTGATTGCCTCCTTGATTCCTTTGCAGTTGCTCTCTATAGTAGTTCCTTCTCTATTGAGTAGATCCTGAAAGGCCTTGAACCTATTTCTGAGAGCTATCTTGAATTCGTTGAGTCAGTCAGTATCCCGAAGAAAGGCCGTATTAAACTTTTGTGATGTTGTCCGCCCCGTTGTCTATTGCTTCTTGGGTTTCAGTTTCATCTTGGCCACCAGCAAGTGATGATCCGATGCTATATCAGCTTCTCTCTTGGTTCTCACGTCTTTCATCGTCTTTCTGAACTTTTCGTTGACGCAGATATGGTCGATTCGGTTCTGTGTAGTGCGATCCGGTGAAGTCAATGTGGCTTTGTGTATGCATTTATGTGGGAATATGGTGCCGCCTATGGCCAGTTTGTTGAAGGCACAAAAGTTTGCCAATGAACTATATTCTTTTATTGGTTCATCGAGTTTTGAAGTTTACTAGATAATATAGGAATGTTGCAACCTATTTTATTCAGTCTTTAGTTATTAGCAAGTTTTTTTTATCGATAAACATAATGGTAAGGATGTACCGGTTTATTCAAATTTTGGTAGTTATCCTTTTTATAAACCACTGAATATTATAGTCGTTTTTTACCTCGTCCTTTTTAATGTACTGAAGTATCTGAAAGAAAGCATCTATTCTTTAAATTTTGTTTTTGAGTGCCCAGGAAACCATTGATTGTTACAATATCTGTAATAATGTCTACATGATCTTTAATACCATACTACAGGAGAGACATCCAATTTTGTCGCATCCATAAGTGTATACTGCGATGGTTAATACGAATGGAAACATGTTATTAAATGTATGAAAATCTATAAACATTAGGCAACTACATAAAAAACCAATCGTATAACTTATTCTGTCTTAGGGCGCTATAGTAATGCGTCTTCAAAAGTAAGTGGGACTTTAGAAACTACTTCTGCTCCGTTATCATATTTTGGATCTCGTAAATCACCAACTATTGAAGCGATTATCCGACGCGTCAATCCATAAAGTGTTGGGATTTTCTTTATTTAATTACTTACGCCTGTAAGTGGTACACATGGGCTCCAGTATCCTAAGGGAACAAATGGCGTATGAACCAATCGTTGGTCACCGGCTACTACGGGACTGCATCTCCTCATGATGCTCCACTGCCTTGCGGGTCAGACCTTTAGGTCAAGGGCTCGGGGAGTGGCCCTCTAAGAAAACCACCTGCTTCGGTTTGGGCACCCGGGCAGTATCACAGCCCACACACAAATAAAATGGAAACGACGATATTTACTGAAAATTCTATTCACGCTTCGATTAACAGTCAAACAATTCACACTATTATTATTATTATTATTATTATTATTATTATTATTATTTACCACGTCACTTACTCACTCCCTTTTATTCCCACTTTGTGTATCCTTATTTTTCGACTTATACAGCAGCTCGCCTATGGTGGAAACTCGGTTCTATCTAAACGTTCTCGAGTCACTGCCTGGTTGAAAATTATACGCTACCACCAGATACGAATACTGAAGCAGTTCTTCTGAAACCACGTGCACCATTCATACTGGCTGCCTTCAACGTTCGCACACTTATGCAGGTCGGACAACAGATCGGAAAGTTTCGATAATGATATTAGAAGACGAAGATTATCGAAATTTATCAAAGGGGCCAATTGTTTTAAAGATAGGAAAGTCTTAATATCGACGTTTGTTGTCTATCCTTGACCCATATTCAAGACTGGTGAAGTACTACAAATTTGCTCTCCATCTGTCGCTTCGAAAAGCTTGTTTTAAATGTGTTTATCCGGGGACCCTGTGGCATCTTCGCCTGGTCTTGCTGGCGTTGGTGTCGCACTAAGTGCTAGAGCTGAGGCAGCACTGATCGATTGGATCCCCATTAACAGTCGGCTATGTGCTGTTAGATTAGAAAGTCCCATCAAAGTGAGAAGAAATCGGCGTGAGAAACGATATCTTTTCGTCATCTCCGCCTATGCTCCGACAGATTGTAGCCCGGATGCAATCAAGGATGAATTCTACCACCAGTTAACTGATCTTCTCCAGAAAGTGAGTTCGACAGATATTGTAGTACTAGCCGGAGACTTGAATGCTCAGGTCGGGCATCTAGGCAGAGAAGAGAGTCGTTTAGGTGGGCGATGGGGATTTGTTGATCGCAGGACAGATGACGAGGACCGTCTACTGCAACTGTGCACAGACCACAACCTGTTTCTGGCTAGCACTAACTACTGGCACAGTAATCGACGATGTGCCACCTGGCGTCCTCCCTCTGCATCTCAAGCCTCGACTCAGATTGATCACATCGCGATCGGCTACCGCTGGCGTGGTTGTGTACAAGACTGCCACTCCTTTTGGAATACCTAACTGGACTCTGATCATGCCCTTGTTTGCGCCAATCTCACCTTAATTTTCAGGGGTCAACGAAGTGTCCGCCACCAAAGGATTGGTGTCAGCAAGTTGGTTGCAACTTGATGACGCATTCAAAATGACGAGTAAAGTCGCTTGTGGCTTCACGAAACGTCCTGCTTATGAGCACTGGGTTTATTCAGGCTTCTTACAATTCATCGAAGCCCGTCGGTCTACTCCAGGTGACCGTGAGTCTGACCACAAACGAGGGCTGTTACTTAAGGGAATTGGGCAAAGCTTGCGTAAGGACCGAGAAGCCTGGTGGTCGGAGCGTGCTAATGAGCTGGAAGCAGCAGCTGCATCTGATAACTACTGGAAGCCTTTCCAACTCATCCGAGCCCTGTGGCAGTAAGAAGTCTGGTGTGAGCGAAACAATCTGTGAGGATGATGGGATGCCAATCACTAACATCCATCGACGCCTTGAACGATGGGCAGAATTCTTCGAAGGGCAGTTCAACTGGCCTGCTGCTCTGGCAACATCGGCCAGACTGTCCTGCCCTCCATGGCTGGTGACGATCGACCCTCCAAATGAGGCGGAAGTCCGCACGGAACTCCAACTCTTGAAGCGCTATAAATCACCAGGCCCAGATGACTTATCTCCGGCTCTTTAAAGATAGTGGTGACTTTCTGGCTAAGGAGCTGACTGTGTAGTTTACAAAGGTCTGGGAAACAGAGAGTGTACCAACGTCATGGGATGAGTCGATAGTTGTTTCTATCTTTAAAAAGGGTTCACGTCGTTCCTGTAACAACTATCGGGGGATAAGTCTACTTCCGATTGCGTCCAAGCTATTGGCTTCCGTCATACTTCGTAGGTTGTTCAAAACCCGAGAAAGATTGACTCGCGAGGAGCAGGCTGATTTTCGTTCTGGTCGAGTGTTTCTTTACATTAGGGCTGCCTTCGATTCGTTGGATAGGACTGTTCTCTGGGATTGTCTATTGAAGAAGGGTGTGCCTGAGAAGTTTATTAACATCTTAAAGGCCCTATATACAAACACCTCAGGCAGAGTGAGAGCATACAACCACCTCTCTCCATTGTTCTATTCGAGCAGTGAGGTCAGACAGGGTTGCCCAATCTCACCATTCCTCTTCAACTTTGCCATCGATAACATTCTGAAAACAGCTCTGACGGTTGTAAGTAATGGTGGTGTGGATCTGTTGCCTGGAGAAAGACTTCTCGATGTATGTGGATGATATTGTCTTAGTGTGGGATGATACGCAATCCTTACTTGGTCAGTTGGTAATCAGCGTCCGTAAGTATGACATGTGCTTCACACCTTCCGAGTGCAAAATAATTCTAAAAGACTTGCGAAACCCCAACCCTGCACTCACTCTTGGTACTGAGCACATAGAATTAGTCGATAAGTTTGTTTATTTGGGTAGCTGCGTACGTTCTGTTGGCGGCATGACTTGGCAGTCAATGTCCGTAGGTACGTATGTGCTTTGCACCTCCGAAGTGCAAAGTACTTCTACAAGACTGGCAGGATTCTAATCCTGTACTCACCCTGGATGGTGAGCAGATAGAAGTAGTCGAGAAGTTCGTGTATCTAGGTAGCTGCATAAGTGCTGGTGGTGGCGTGAGTGATGAGATCAATGCACGTATAGTGAAAGCCAGAGCGGCTTATGCCAATCTGGGCCATCTTTGGCGCCTTCGTGATGTTAGTCTGGCTGTAAAAGGTCGGATCTACAACGCGTCGGTGAGAGCAGTTTTGCTCTATGCTTGTGAAACCTGGCCTCTCCGAGTTGAGGACGTTAGACGACTCTCTGTGTTCGATCATCGCTGTCTCCGAAGGATTGCTGACATCCAGTGGCAACACCATGTCAGTAATGCAGAGGTTCGGCATCGTGTGTTCGGGCGCAGAGATGATAATTCAATTGGTGTCACCATCTTGAAACACCGACTTCGGTGGCTTGGACATGTTCTACGAATGTCGTCCCAGAGAATTCCACGTCGTGCATTATTTGCCGACTCTGGGACTGGTTGGAAAAAGCGGAGAGGTGGTCAGTGTATGACATGGTGTCGTGGTATGAAAGAAAGCTGCAAAGGACTGGCTTCTGTTGGTCCTTCACGACTCCCTAGCTGGAGTCCGAGAGATGGTGTGACACAGTGGCTAGAGACGTTATCAGATATGGCTCAGAATAGAAGCCAGCGGCGATCCTGCTGTAACCTTCTTTTGCTTTCTTCATAAAAAGTGGTTGTACCTTCCTTAACTGAAAGATTTCTTCTGGTTGTACGTTTCCGTTTCCCCCATCATTATTCTTATTCTTATTCTTATTCTTCTTCTTCTTCTTATTATTATTGTTACACTACCTTACACTAATCTGGTCGTTATTGTTCTTCTTTTTTTTCTTTTACGCTCCTCACCTTCCTTTTTCCTCTTCCCATTCTCATTGTTTTGTGTGGCGCATATATATTTGGTGCCCCTTGTACCAATATATTTTGTGAGTTCAAATAAATAAAATATCTCGTCGTGGAGGGGCATAGGCCGCCCACCAGCACTCTCCATCCAACCCTGTACTGGACAAGCCTTTCCTGCTCTTTCCAGGTGTTATTCGTATTTTTCACATCTGCTTTTATTTCCCGACGTAATGTGTTCTTTGGCCTTCCTCTTTTCCGCTTCCCTTCAGGATTCCAAGTTAGTGCTTGCCTCGTGATGCAGTTTGATGATTTGCGTTATGTATGTCCTATCTATCTCCATCGTCTTGTCCTACTTTCGTCTTCAGCTGGAAGTTGGTTTGTTCTCTCCCAGAGAAAGCTGTTGCTGATGGTATCCGGCCAATGGATGTTGAGTATCTTGCGTAGACAATTATTTGGGCTCTAAATGTAGCGACCGATTACACTGACACATAATGGGCAGGTCTGCTTTCAGACCGGTATTGCGTCAACAGATTAACCGGTGTAATATTCGGCTTCTTAGGCTATCGTACTGTACAAATGTAGTCACTACAGTTTGTACATAATTTTGAGGGAGTTAGTTTATTGTGTTACACGATTTTTATCTTTATTAATCTTCGTGCCTAACCATAGTGTGTTGGTTTAGTGAACAAATCATTTCATTTAGATTTTGTACTCATGGTAACTGCTAAAATTCATAGATATCTGAACTGATAATCTTTTTCATTACTGTTGTTGACATAAAAATCCACTCTTTTTGTTATAGCAGAATGGAATACATGCCAATCATTTACGCGCTAACCCCTTTTCATTGGATATTTTGAAGGGACAGTTTCCCACTGATGCCAATGTTTTCCCCACGTTACCGGCAATGCAGTCTGTATTTAAAAATCTACATCTCTCAAAGTTGGATTACTCACAAACTCATGGGTAAGTGTTATTTTGACTGAATATTCATATTTCATTTAGTCGTCGATTTTATGTTGTTAATGTATACAACTACTATATTTCAAGATTTGACCAGTAGAGTGATGTCGTCTGCTGATATACATGAGATATGACTCAGCTTACTGTGGTCAACTTCATTAAATTACTACGTCAGAGACACTAAATGAAATGTTTGCACGATGTAGGCGCGAACTTTAAGATCAGTTACGAAAATACGTTTGACATAAAACTTGTAGAATATCACATTACGTAGAGGTATGTATTTGCACCCGTTTGTTGGAAAGAAGTCAGTTGATATAGTCCACTCAATTTGTTTCTAGTTTCCCTGTAGTTGCGAAGTTTATAACTCAAACAGTTCCCGTACCCATATGTAATATATAAATTAGCTCGTCTACCAGGTATTTGGGTATGAGTTACACTCTAAGCGTGAGGTAATGGTGTTACTCGGTTGCTCAAACCAAAGTGGGTATAGGGGGGTTTATTAAGACGGAAACAGATATATAATTCAGTAGTGAATTGTGCTTCTTAGTCGTCAGTCAATTTATGATTTCATAAATTATATGCACATATTAGATTATTGATTAGTTGCTAGTTAGTTCATTCGAATTTATCAAGTCATTATAGGGTCCGAACTTGGGACTTAGTGGTACCAATAATATCATCTTTCGCCCTTCTTTCTCTATAGCAGAGAAAATAAGTAAACTAAACTCAATTCGAAATCTGTTGAATGGGAGATCTGTGATAGACTGACAGAAAGTGAATAACCAGTTTAAATGCACAATCGATAAGGAGAAAATTGAAATTACTTAGTAATGAATAAAAATAATCAACTATTTATTTACCAGGTACCTGGATGTCAACCGTACTCTAAGTGTGACGGCTAGTGATACCGCTCGATCGTCCAAACCGAAGTAGAGTGGGGTTCAAACCAGGGGACCTGTTGGTTTAAAACTATTCATCTGAACACAAATATTAGTACTAAGAGCTGCCTTCTCATAAGGAAGGAAGGGGTTAGAAAAGGTCGACCCTAAAAACGTCAAACTCCACCTTACCTCACGGATTTCCGTCTCCGGCGGTAAGGCCTTTTGAAGAACGGAGCTAACACGTTAAAAACTTGCCACAAAAAGGCCGTGCGTAACCGGCCTCGAGCAGTTGTCCTTTGGGCTCTGGAGTCACACTCCCAGGTCGTTGAGACCAACACTAATCCAACTTCCTTTTCAGGTAGTTTATTTATTTGAACACATGAATATTGGTGCAAGGGGGCACCAAATACATATGCGCCACACAAAACAATGAGAATGGGAAGAGAAAAAAAGGAAGGCGAGGGGCGTAAAAGAAAAAAAAGAAGAACAATAACGACCAGATTAGTGTAAGGTAGTGTAACAATAATAATAAGAAGAAGAAGAATTATAATAATAATGGGGGAAACGGAAACGTACAACCAGAAGAAATCTTTCAGTTAAGGAAGGTACAACCACTTTTTATGAAGAAAGCAAAAGAAGGTTACAGCAGGATCGCCGCTGACTTCTATTCTGAGCCATATCTGATAACGTCTCTAGCCACTGTGTCACACCATCCCTCGGACTCCAGCTAGGGAGTCGTGAAGGACCAACAGAAGCCAGCCCTTTGCAGATTTCTTTTATACCACGACACCATGTCATACACTGACGACCTCTCCGCTTTTTCCAACCAGTCTCAGCGTCGACAAATAATGCACGACATGGAATTTTCTGGGACGACATTCGTAGAACATGTCCAAGCCACCGAAGTCGATGTTTCAAGATGGTGACACCAATTGAATTATCGTCTCTGCACTCGAACACACGATGCCGAACCTCTCCATTACTAACATGGTGTTGCCACTGGATGTCAGCAATCCTTCGGAGACAGCGATGATCAAGCACAAAGAGTCGTCTAACATCCTCAACTCGGAGAGGCCAGGTTTCACGAGCATAGAGCAGAACTGCTCTCACCGACGCGTTGTAGATCCGACCTTTAACAGCCAGACTGACATCACGAAGGCGCCAAAGATGGCCCAGATTGGCATAACTCGCTCTGGCTTTCACTATACGTTCATTGATCTCATGCCTAGATGCCCGACCTGAGCATTCAAGTCTCCGGCTAGTACTACAATATCTGTCGAACGCACTTTCTGGAGAAGATCAGTTAACTGGTGGTAGAATTCATCCTTGATTGCATCCGGGCTACAATCTGTCGGAGCATAGGCGGAGATGACGAAAAGATATCGTTTCTCACGCCGATTTCTTCTCACTTTGATGGGACTTTCTAATCTAACAGCACATAGCCGACTGTTAATGGGGATCCAATCGATCAGTGCTGCCTCAGCTCTAGCACTTAGTGCGACACCAACGCCAGCAAGACCAGGCGAAGATGCCACAGGGTCCCCGGATAAACACATTTAAAACAAGCTTTTCGAAGCGACAGATGGAGAGCAAATTTGTAGTACTTCACCAGTCTTGAATATGGGTCAAGGATAGACAACAAACGTCGATATTAAGACTTTCCTATCTTTAAAACAATTGGCCCCTTTGATAAATTTCGATAATCTTCGTCTTCTAATATCATTATCGAAACTTTCCGATCTGTTGTCCGACCTGCATAAGTGTGCGAACGTTGAAGGCAGCCAGTTGAATGGTGGACGTGGTTTCAGAAGAACTGCTTCAGTATTCGTATCTGGTGGTAGCGTATAATTTTCAACCAGGCAGTGACTCGAGAACGTTTAGATAGAACCGAGTTTCCACCATAGGCGAGCTGCTGTATAAGTCGAAAAATAAGGATACACAAAGTGGGAATAAAAGGGAGTGAGTAAGTGACGTGGTATAATAATAATAATAATAATAATAATAATAATAATAATAATAATAATAATAGTGTGAATTGTTTGACTGTTAATCGAAGCGTGAATAGAATTTTCAGTAAATATCGTCGTTTCATTTTATTTGTGTGTGGGTTGTGATACTGCCCGGGTGCCCAAACCGAAGCAGGTGGTTTTCTTAGAGGGCCACTCCCCGAGCCTTTGACCTAAAGGTCTGACCCGCAAGGCAGTGGAGCATCGTGAGGAGATGCAGTCCCATAGTCGACGGTGACCAACGATTGGTTCATACGCCATTTGTTCCCTTAGGATACTGGAGTCCATGTGCACCATTGTTTCGGGATCCGGTTAAAACCCCAGACATTCGCTTTTCATCCTTTCTTTTTCGTGAAGAACAACATCGCCGCGGGAATACAGTGGGTCTAACTTCCCTAGCAGAGGTCCATATGGGTGGCCATGTGAGAGCATTTAGGGAGGGTGGTCGGGCCCTCTTCTCTCTTGGCTATACCAGGGCTTTTAGGGGTCAGGTAGTTTAATCTGGGATGCAGTTTTCTGTTATTTGTTAGTTCAAGTTGAAAGCCACAAGTATTAGATTTATTTAATTCAATATTATTTTGCAGTTTAGCATTGGTGCGAAATCAATGCATTCTTCAACAAAAACCACCAGTCGTTTCACCTGTTTCTTCAAGTCAGCACAATCCTTTGATGTCATCTCCGAGTGTTCGTGGAATAATGTTGCCAAATGTCCAACCCAATAGTTTTCCGCTTTCATCATACCTCTCATGTTTTCCTGTTCAACCAACAAATATCGAGTCGAAACAGTCTGTTAGTCTTCCATCAACTATTATACCGTGTTCAAAACAACCAACAGGATTCGTTGCTCCACTCGAGGAAGTGTCCACAGATAAAGAAAGCGACCCAAATAGTGGTGGTTGGATGACAGACTATGAAGCAATTGGTGTGTTATTGATTCAGTTGCGTCCTTTGATGGTATCTAATCCCTATGTCCAGGTCAGTTTCTTATTTTCTAAATGTTTTCAATTTACTACGTTTTTAGTTGATTATGTGATTCTTAAGTAGCACTGTTGCCTGAAAATTAATGCCTCTACTCACTGAATGATTTTGTTGACCGGATCGTTTATATGTCTTTTCATTTACTGTTAATGAAACACAGGTGTAGTTCTTAGCACTTGATGAAAATTAATTTATGAAATCGCTTATTAGTTAGTTTTGTAGTTGGTTTCTTAAATCATAGGTCACATACTTTCATGTAAAGAGGGATTAACATAAAGTACCAAGAACCATCCGGGTTTTTGATGGTATTCATTTCTTCAATCGTTACCCATCACTTATATACAGCAGAATGAATCACCACATTATTAGGGCTATGCGGTAGTAAAAATGTAGTTCAAACTTCTCCAAATATCTGTTTAGTGAATATAATTTGGGCAAAATCTTCTGTTTTTTAAACGTCTTTTAATATGGTTTTAAAGTTGATACACCACTTATTTATAATCGAAATGATGGAATTTGACATCAAAATGCTCGTTCTTTGATATGATTCATGTAATGTAAGTTCAATGAAATCCCACTTGTTTAAAACTCGTTTCAGATCATTTCCTTCAAGAATAATTTGTGTTTTTACTTCTGATGATTTTGGCACAGTTAAGAGTTTCTTCAGTGGTTAATACGAATAAATAGTTGTTTATTTATCTCGAATTATGTATTCGAATTTCATATAATCAATTGTCAAATTCTGACATTTATTAAATAATAGTTGAATTCACGAGTCAATTGAAGCTAGACCACCATCAAAAACCTGGAAGCACTGGACGGCCGTCTCGTTCTAGTATGGGACTTCTCAGCAGTGCGCATCCACGATCCCGCCTCGCGAGATTCAAACCCAGGACCTATCGGTCTCGCGCGCGAACGCTTAACATCGAGACCACTGAGTCGGCATCCAATGGTGTTAATGTCTAATTTCAACCAATCCACGAAATTGCGCCACCATCCACCATTGTCTTCAGTGAGTTACTATCTCACAACTGACCCGGTTGGATTCCACTGGTCACTGCTTCTCACTAGAACTCCAGGAAATATCTTTTTGAGACCGTCTGTAGCTGGCATATGGTGATTATAATCGGAGAGGGGTTTTGTGGATATTATAGCAATTTAGTAATTGAATTCATGAGTCAATGGAAGCTAGACCATCATGGACGCGCACTCCTGGGGAGTCCCATACTAGAACGAAACAGCCGTCCAGTGATTCCAGGCTTTCCATGGTGGTCTAGCATCAATTGACACATAAATTCAATTATTAAATTACTATGATATCCACAAAACCCCTCTCTGATTTATTAATTAGCCTGTAATTTATCATGAGTAAATATATTTGTTTGTACGGCTTTGAAAATAAGCTCTTTGTAAATGAATTTCTCGCAGAGTTAATCATTTTATTATTCAGAAGGTGTTTTTAGAATTGTATCGCATGTTTGTGTCTTTAAGACTATAAATTCCCATCGCTTGTTTATTCATCTTCAGATCAATGTCTCTTTTGATTTTGAACTTCTGAAGCCTAGTCGTTTCTACCTTGAATTAATGAAATGTATCAGTGTCCATTACTGAGTGATACCCAGAATATGATTCTGTTACCAGTTATTCCATCATTTGACTTAAAATACATTACTGCTTGGTATACTGTAATTCAGTTAATTTCTGTGTCATAAATGGTAAATGTAGTGGTTGTTTTATTCAGCCAAATTTTTAATTTAACAGTATAGTAGTTCCTCCATTTTGAGACATAATCTCACCATTATAGTTGTTTTAACTATCCAGCTATACAACAAAGTAGAAATCAATAAAATCAGAAAATTAGCTAATTTCTAAGCTTTGCTTTTGTTTAGGTATCCATTTATTGCTCTCAATGTACCTGAGCATCTTTCTTTTTTTCGTGAACAAGTCTAGTGATCATATTGTATACTGATTAGTTATTCAAGGACTACTAATCATTATTTCTCTTGCCAGGATTATTATTTCGCATCTCAATGGTTGCGACGAATGAATGCTATTCAATCTAAACATATTTCAAAAGTTAAAATGAACACTACAACTTCACCAGCAACAGTGCAACTTCCTATTCCTATACCACTTGAAAGCTTAAACGATTCCAATTCACCGTATCAAGTAACTCTGAAACATAAACTTGTTATTCCTTTTCGTGCTGTGAATCGCCATCCTAGTTTTGACCAAAACAAAGATGAAAACTGTGATAGCTTAGAAAAGAAAAGTGCATGCTCAGAAACTCCAACTTCTGAATCAAGTAACGCACTGGGTCGTCCAACTAGATCCAATGTTCATCGGCCACGTGTTGTAGCAGAGTTATCACTAGCGTCCGCATTTACCTCTAATGCAGAAACCAATTATCCCGTGATACCAATAAATAATCAAACACTGAACACAAAAGTGAGTCACAAAGCCAAAAACTACAAAAAATATTCACAAAATACTAGATACAATAAATTATCAGGATTTTATCTCTGTGCGTTTATAATCATTCTTAACAATCTCTATCGGAATATTTTGTATATGGGGTTGATTTAGTGTTGATGGTTTTTCGTTGTAATATTGGTGTTTGAATGTTTGGTGAATGATGATAATGGAGAGCACTGGTGTTCCCTGTTATGTTTCCGTTGTTCAGGTTGTGTGTGTTTTGATGGTTTAGTTTGTGTAATGCATGTAAGTACTCTCAACCAATCCACTTGTTGTTTGTTAACATATGTGGGTGTAATGAGAGTGACATTGATGGTTGGACAGATTTCTCGTTGGACGACGATGTTAATTTGCGTAGTCGTGTTCCATGTTATGTCTACATGATGATGAAGGAGTGTGTGTTGTACATGTTTTGTTTTGTGTGTGTATGTGAATGTAGAGTATTTTGTATATGGGGTTGATTTAGTGTTGATGGTTTTTCGTTGTAATATTGGTGTTTGAATGTTTGGTGAATGATGATAATGGAGAGCACTGGTGTTCCCTGTTATGTTTCCGTTGTTCAGGTTGTGTGTGTTTTGATGGTTTAGTTTGTGTAATGCATGTAAGTACTCTCAACCAATCCACTTGTTGTTTGTTAACATATGTGGGTGTAATGAGAGTGACATTGATAGTTGGACAGATTTCTCGTTGGACGACGATGTTAATTTGCGTAGTCGTGTTCCATGTTATGTCTACATGATGATGAAGGAGTGTGTGTTGTACATGTTTTGTTTTGTGTATGTATGTGAATGTAGAGTATTTTGTATATGGGGTTGATTTAGTGTTGATGGTTTTTCGTTGTAATATTGGTGTTTGAATGTTTGGTGAATGATGATAATGGAGAGCACTGGTGTTCCCTGTTATGTTTCCGTTGTTCAGGTTGTGTGTGTTTTGATGGTTTAGTTTGTGTAATGCATGTAAGTACTCTCAACCAATCCACTTGTTGTTTGTTAACATATGTGGGTGTAATGAGAGTGACATTGATAGTTGGACAGATTTCTCGTTGGACGACGATGTTAATTTGCGTAGTCGTGTTCCATGTTCTGTCTACATGATGATGAAGGAGTGTGTGTTGTACATGTTTTGTTTTGTGTATGTATGTGAATGTAGAGTATTTTGTATATGGGGTTGATTTAGTGTTGATGGTTTTTCGTTGTAATATTGGTGTTTGAATGTTTGGTGAATGATGATAATGGAGAGCACTGGTGTTCCCTGTTATGTTTCCGTTGTTCAGGTTGTGTGTGTTTTGATGGTTTAGTTTGTGTAATGCATGTAAGTACTCTCAACCAATCCACTTGTTGTTTGTTAACATATGTGGGTGTAATGAGAGTGACATTGATAGTTGGACAGATTTCTCGTTGGACGACGATGTTAATTTGCGTAGTCGTGTTCCATGTTCTGTCTACATGATGATGAAGGAGTGTGTGTTGTACATGTTTTGTTTTGTGTATGTATGTGAATGTAGAATATTTTGTATATGGGGTTGATTTAGTGTTGATGGTTTTTCGTTGTAATATTGGTGTTTGAATGTTTGGTGAATGATGATAATGGAGAGCACTGGTGTTCCCTGTTATGTTTCCGTTGTTCAGGTTGTGTGTGTTTTGATGGTTTAGTTTGTGTAATGCATGTAAGTACTCTCAACCAATCCACTTGTTGTTTGTTAACATATGTGGGTGTAATGAGAGTGACATTGATGGTTGGACAGATTTCTCGTTGGACGACGATGTTAATTTGCGTAGTCGTGTTCCATGTTCTGTCTACATGATGATGAAGGAGTGTGTGTTGTACATGTTTTGTTTTGTGTATGTATGTGAATGTAGAGTATTTTGTATATGGGGTTGATTTAGTGTTGATGGTTTTTCGTTGTAATATTGGTGTTTGAATGTTTGGTGAATGATGATAATGGAGAGCACTGGTGTTCCCTGTTATGTTTCCGTTGTTCAGGTTGTGTGTGTTTTGATGGTTTAGTTTGTGTAATGCATGTAAGTACTCTCAACCAATCCACTTGTTGTTTGTTAACATATGTGGGTGTAATGAGAGTGACATTGATAGTTGGACAGATTTCTCGTTGGACGACGATGTTAATTTGCGTAGTCGTGTTCCATGTTCTGTCTACATGATGATGAAGGAGTGTGTGTTGTACATGTTTTGTTTTGTGTATGTATGTGAATGTAGAGTATTTTGTATATGGGGTTGATTTAGTGTTGATGGTTTTTCGTTGTAATATTGGTGTTTGAATGTTTGGTGAATGATGATAATGGAGAGCACTGGTGTTCCCTGTTATGTTTCCGTTGTTCAGGTTGTGTGTGTTTTGATGGTTTAGTTTGTGTAATGCATGTAAGTACTCTCAACCAATCCACTTGTTGTTTGTTAACATATGTGGGTGTAATGAGAGTGACATTGATGGTTGGACAGATTTCTCGTTGGACGACGATGTTAATTTGCGTAGTCGTGTTCCATGTTCTGTCTACATGATGATGAAGGAGTGTGTGTTGTACATGTTTTGTTTTGTGTATGTATGTGAATGTAGAGTATTTTGTATATGGGGTTGATTTAGTGTTGATGGTTTTTCGTTGTAATATTGGTGTTTGAATGTTTGGTGAATGATGATAATGGAGAGCACTGGTGTTCCCTGTTATGTTTCCGTTGTTCAGGTTGTGTGTGTTTTGATGGTTTAGTTTGTGTAATGCATGTAAGTACTCTCAACCAATCCACTTGTTGTTTGTTAACATATGTGGGTGTAATGAGAGTGACATTGATAGTTGGACAGATTTCTCGTTGGACGACGATGTTAATTTGCGTAGTCGTGTTCCATGTTCTGTCTACATGATGATGAAGGAGTGTGTGTTGTACATGTTTTGTTTTGTGTATGTATGTGAATGTAGAGTATTTTGTATATGGGGTTGATTTAGTGTTGATGGTTTTTCGTTGTAATATTGGTGTTTGAATGTTTGGTGAATGATGATAATGGAGAGCACTGGTGTTCCCTGTTATGTTTCCGTTGTTCAGGTTGTGTGTGTTTTGATGGTTTAGTTTGTGTAATGCATGTAAGTACTCTCAACCAATCCACTTGTTGTTTGTTAACATATGTGGGTGTAATGAGAGTGACATTGATAGTTGGACAGATTTCTCGTTGGACGACGATGTTAATTTGCGTAGTCGTGTTCCATGTTCTGTCTACATGATGATGAAGGAGTGTGTGTTGTACATGTTTTGTTTTGTGTATGTATGTGAATGTAGAGTATTTTGTATATGGGGTTGATTTAGTGTTGATGGTTTTTCGTTGTAATATTGGTGTTTGAATGTTTGGTGAATGATGATAATGGAGAGCACTGGTGTTCCCTGTTATGTTTCCGTTGTTCAGGTTGTGTGTGTTTTGATGGTTTAGTTTGTGTAATGCATGTAAGTACTCTCAACCAATCCACTTGTTGTTTGTTAACATATGTGGGTGTAATGAGAGTGACATTGATAGTTGGACAGATTTCTCGTTGGACGACGATGTTAATTTGCGTAGTCGTGTTCCATGTTCTGTCTACATGATGATGAAGGAGTGTGTGTTGTACATGTTTTGTTTTGTGTATGTATGTGAATGTAGAGTATTTTGTATATGGGGTTGATTTAGTGTTGATGGTTTTTCGTTGTAATATTGGTGTTTGAATGTTTGGTGAATGATGATAATGGAGAGCACTGGTGTTCCCTGTTATGTTTCCGTTGTTCAGGTTGTGTGTGTTTTGATGGTTTAGTTTGTGTAATGCATGTAAGTACTCTCAACCAATCCACTTGTTGTTTGTTAACATATGTGGGTGTAATGAGAGTGACATTGATAGTTGGACAGATTTCTCGTTGGACGACGATGTTAATTTGCGTAGTCGTGTTCCATGTTCTGTCTACATGATGATGAAGGAGTGTGTGTTGTACATGTTTTGTTTTGTGTATGTATGTGAATGTAGAGTATTTTGTATATGGGGTTGATTTAGTGTTGATGGTTTTTCGTTGTAATATTGGTGTTTGAATGTTTGGTGAATGATGATAATGGAGAGCACTGGTGTTCCCTGTTATGTTTCCGTTGTTCAGGTTGTGTGTGTTTTGATGGTTTAGTTTGTGTAATGCATGTAAGTACTCTCAACCAATCCACTTGTTGTTTGTTAACATATGTGGGTGTAATGAGAGTGACATTGATAGTTGGACAGATTTCTCGTTGGACGACGATGTTAATTTGCGTAGTCGTGTTCCATGTTCTGTCTACATGATGATGAAGGAGTGTGTGTTGTACATGTTTTGTTTTGTGTATGTATGTGAATGTAGAGTATTTTGTATATGGGGTTGATTTAGTGTTGATGGTTTTTCGTTGTAATATTGGTGTTTGAATGTTTGGTGAATGATGATAATGGAGAGCACTGGTGTTCCCTGTTATGTTTCCGTTGTTCAGGTTGTGTGTGTTTTGATGGTTTAGTTTGTGTAATGCATGTAAGTACTCTCAACCAATCCACTTGTTGTTTGTTAACATATGTGGGTGTAATGAGAGTGACATTGATAGTTGGACAGATTTCTCGTTGGACGACGATGTTAATTTGCGTAGTCGTGTTCCATGTTCTGTCTACATGATGATGAAGGAGTGTGTGTTGTACATGTTTTGTTTTGTGTATGTATGTGAATGTAGAGTATTTTGTATATGGGGTTGATTTAGTGTTGATGGTTTTTCGTTGTAATATTGGTGTTTGAATGTTTGGTGAATGATGATAATGGAGAGCACTGGTGTTCCCTGTTATGTTTCCGTTGTTCAGGTTGTGTGTGTTTTGATGGTTTAGTTTGTGTAATGCATGTAAGTACTCTCAACCAATCCACTTGTTGTTTGTTAACATATGTGGGTGTAATGAGAGTGACATTGATGGTTGGACAGATTTCTCGTTGGACGACGATGTTAATTTGCGTAGTCGTGTTCCATGTTCTGTCTACATGATGATGAAGGAGTGTGTGTTGTACATGTTTTGTTTTGTGTATGTATGTGAATGTAGAGTATTTTGTATATGGGGTTGATTTAGTGTTGATGGTTTTTCGTTGTAATATTGGTGTTTGAATGTTTGGTGAATGATGATAATGGAGAGCACTGGTGTTCCCTGTTATGTTTCCGTTGTTCAGGTTGTGTGTGTTTTGATGGTTTAGTTTGTGTAATGCATGTAAGTACTCTCAACCAATCCACTTGTTGTTTGTTAACATATGTGGGTGTAATGAGAGTGACATTGATGGTTGGACAGATTTCTCGTTGGACGACGATGTTAATTTGCGTAGTCGTGTTCCATGTTCTGTCTACATGATGATGAAGGAGTGTGTGTTGTACATGTTTTGTTTTGTGTATGTATGTGAATGTAGAGTATTTTGTATATGGGGTTGATTTAGTGTTGATGGTTTTTCGTTGTAATATTGGTGTTTGAATGTTTGGTGAATGATGATAATGGAGAGCACTGGTGTTCCCTGTTATGTTTCCGTTGTTCAGGTTGTGTGTGTTTTGATGGTTTAGTTTGTGTAATGCATGTAAGTACTCTCAACCAATCCACTTGTTGTTTGTTAACATATGTGGGTGTAATGAGAGTGACATTGATAGTTGGACAGATTTCTCGTTGGACGACGATGTTAATTTGCGTAGTCGTGTTCCATGTTCTGTCTACATGATGATGAAGGAGTGTGTGTTGTACATGTTTTGTTTTGTGTATGTATGTGAATGTAGAGTATTTTGTATATGGGGTTGATTTAGTGTTGATGGTTTTTCGTTGTAATATTGGTGTTTGAATGTTTGGTGAATGATGATAATGGAGAGCACTGGTGTTCCCTGTTATGTTTCCGTTGTTCAGGTTGTGTGTGTTTTGATGGTTTAGTTTGTGTAATGCATGTAAGTACTCTCAACCAATCCACTTGTTGTTTGTTAACATATGTGGGTGTAATGAGAGTGACATTGATGGTTGGACAGATTTCTCGTTGGACGACGATGTTAATTTGCGTAGTCGTGTTCCATGTTCTGTCTACATGATGATGAAGGAGTGTGTGTTGTACATGTTTTGTTTTGTGTATGTATGTGAATGTAGAGTATTTTGTATATGGGGTTGATTTAGTGTTGATGGTTTTTCGTTGTAATATTGGTGTTTGAATGTTTGGTGAATGATGATAATGGAGAGCACTGGTGTTCCCTGTTATGTTTCCGTTGTTCAGGTTGTGTGTGTTTTGATGGTTTAGTTTGTGTAATGCATGTAAGTACTCTCAACCAATCCACTTGTTGTTTGTTAACATATGTGGGTGTAATGAGAGTGACATTGATGGTTGGACAGATTTCTCGTTGGACGACGATGTTAATTTGCGTAGTCGTGTTCCATTTTCTGTCTACATGATGATGAAGGAGTGTGTGTTGTACATGTTTTGTTTTGTGTATGTATGTGAATGTAGAGTATTTTGTATATGGGGTTGATTTAGTGTTGATGGTTTTTCGTTGTAATATTGGTGTTTGAATGTTTGGTGAATGATGATAATGGAGAGCACTGGTGTTCCCTGTTATGTTTCCGTTGTTCAGGTTGTGTGTGTTTTGATGGTTTAGTTTATGTAATGCATGTAAGTACTCTCAACCAATCCACTTGTTGTTTGTTAACATATGTGGGTGTAATGAGAGTGACATTGATGGTTGGACAGATTTCTCGTTGGACGACGATGTTAATTTGCGTAGTCGTGTTCCATGTTCTGTCTACATGATGATGAAGGAGTGTGTGTTGTACATGTTTTGTTTTGTGTATGTATGTGAATGTAGAGTATTTTGTATATGGGGTTGATTTAGTGTTGATGGTTTTTCGTTGTAATATTGGTGTTTGAATGTTTGGTGAATGATGATAATGGAGAGCACTGGTGTTCCCTGTTATGTTTCCGTTGTTCAGGTTGTGTGTGTTTTGATGGTTTAGTTTGTGTAATGCATGTAAGTACTCTCAACCAATCCACTTGTTGTTTGTTAACATATGTGGGTGTAATGAGAGTGACATTGATGGTTGGACAGATTTCTCGTTGGACGACGATGTTAATTTGCGTAGTCGTGTTCCATGTTCTGTCTACATGATGATGAAGGAGTGTGTGTTGTACATGTTTTGTTTTGTGTATGTATGTGAATGTAGAGTATTTTGTATATGGGGTTGATTTAGTGTTGATGGTTTTTCGTTGTAATATTGGTGTTTGAATGTTTGGTGAATGATGATAATGGAGAGCACTGGTGTTCCCTGTTATGTTTCCGTTGTTCAGGTTGTGTGTGTTTTGATGGTTTAGTTTGTGTAATGCATGTAAGTACTCTCAACCAATCCACTTGTTGTTTGTTAACATATGTGGGTGTAATGAGAGTGACATTGATAGTTGGACAGATTTCTCGTTGGACGACGATGTTAATTTGCGTAGTCGTGTTCCATGTTCTGTCTACATGATGATGAAGGAGTGTGTGTTGTACATGTTTTGTTTTGTGTATGTATGTGAATGTAGAGTATTTTGTATATGGGGTTCATTTGGTGTTGATGGTTCTTCGTTGTAGTCTGTTTTTTAAATCTTGTATGAGTGTTGATTATTATATTCGCTTTTTGAATTATGACTTATTTTGTTATTTTACCTGTTTTTCGTTTTCTTTGTGATCCTTTATCTTTGTGTTTTAATGGTGTCTTGTTTTAAATGTTTTTGCGGTTTTTGGTGTCATTTTTTACTATCTGTTATATCGTTTATTGTAGGTTGATGATGGTCATTATATATCTGCACTTTCTGAGTCCTCTGATGTGAAGGCTAATCGTCGTCGTTTGCTGATTCTCGCTCAAATTGAACGTGTATGTTTTTGTCTATTGTGTCGTGGTTGTGTTTTTGGTGTTTTGCACTTGTATCTTTCATATATTTTCTCTAATTCAATGTAACTTTTTATTGTAAACGATTTCTTTTTGTCATTTTATTCTCTGCTGTGTAAGTTACGTTGTTATTTGTTTTCTCTCTGGTTGTGCCCATTTTGTTAGGTGTTGCGTGTGTGGATGTTTTATCGTTGCCTTTTTGACCCTGTGTTTCTATTTTGATATCTGAAAATCAAAATGCTTTACGCAACGTTTCGATAAGACTGTTACGAAAATCAATTACATTTACTCTATGCTTATATGCTCGATCTGTGCATTCTAATCTTCGACTAGCTCTAGAATATCTGTCGCATGCGCTTTCTTGATACCATTTAACCGATGGTATCCTATATCCTTGATTTAGTAGCGGTTGTAACCTGTCGGGGGATAGGCGGATATTACAGAAAGACTTTGTTCCCCAGATAATTTTTCTCTCACATTTGTTGGGCTTCCCACTCTAGCACCCCATTAACAACTGTTAATGGGGTCCAATCGATTGATGCCGCTTGTGTGACATTGGAACCCAGCTAAATTGGACGAAGGTACAAGGATCTCTGGATAATTGCTTGGGAATCATGTTTATCGAGTAGCAAACATCGAATTTACTGTACTGCACTCGTTTTCAATAGACGTTTCGGATGTACAACAAACGTAAATATCAAGACACCCAAACCTATTTTTCAACAATGGAAAAAGGGATTGTAATAGGTATACTCACAGAGATATGGAGTATCTTGAATATTATAAGATTGGTGCTCCTTAGATTTAGTGTAATCAAGTTTTAATAACTAGCTCCTGAATTTATTACAAAAGCTTGCTAAGAAGCCCTCAAATCATCTAGTTTTCCCCTTGTTAATAAACGGTACTTCTGATGTTTGAGGAAGCCCGCTTTAATGACTATCCAATTCATATTTGCTCACTGATATTTGTTGTCGTTTAATTGATTGTTCTCGCTTCTCGTTAAGTATTTTTTATCAAATGTCTCAAGTCCATTTTCTTGATTATGTAAACAGAATTGTCCCGTTAAATTTCCGACTTCGAGTGACAAGTTTTTTCCTGAGTTCTACACCTTGTCTCATCAATCAAGGATTATTGTTGAATAGTCGTGTATGTGTCGTACAAATGTGTTCCTTTGAATTGCGTTTTGCCCTAAAAACAGCTTGCTGTCGTTCGTAATTATCACAGCTTTCATAAAACAAAACAAGACTGTTGGGAAGCTTTGAATTTTTTAAATAGTAAAAATAATGTAAATAATATCATCATATACATTATCTATGTATATAAAGATGCTTACTTATAATGTTTGGTGACTTTTATCTTTTCTCTAATTTTTTGCCCTCTCATCTGTTTAGATGTTTTCAATATTACTGATCTTAGATGAAGTTTCCTTATCTCTTAAAAGAGTTGTTGTTCAAAATGACGCGTAAGTATACCCTGTACTTTTTGTAGGTCTATAATTTTTTTACTTTCTGACCTGATTTTCCTCACTTAAGAGCTGTACTGTATTATATTATATCGCACTAAAGTTCCTGTTTACAGTTCAAAACGTGGAAACATTTAAATAAAACACTCAAAAAAGAAATCAAACCTAATGATCAAATATACAATACTACGACTTTGTTCCAGAAAGGGGTAATCTGCATCTGCTTTAACAAAAAGCTACAAGATTCTGTCACTTCCGTTTTCTTAAATTGTATTTGTGTATATATTCCTTGATTTGGTTGCTTCTCTCTTCCATAGACGTTCCCGACTGTTAGATTATCAACAAGAACTGATTAACCAACTAATCAGTGGACTACTCCAGTCATCATCGATAACAAGCGAAGCCACGTCTAAAGAATTCAAATCAGTCGTTGAGAATGGTCTGTTTTCATTGCCAGACAGTTTTTTCTCTATTCATAAAGGAATGCGTCTATGGTGTTTAACTCTACATCACCTACCGACAGTAAGTTGTTTCATAATTTTTTATTTAAATGAAATTTTTAGTTCAACTATTGGATTTTTATGTGGAACATTAAAGTTCTCACTAATTCTCCTAATAAAGACATCTTTCTAAAAAAATTTCTTTCTTTCTAAATGATAAAATAGTTGTCAAAAAGGGATGAAAATGGAGTCCAATAGTTCAGTGGTTAGGATGGTTGACTTTCACCCACTACGTAGCAGGTTCAAGTTCCGTTTCACCTGGTTCGGTTTAAGCTTCACTACAAAGTTTAGCTCAAACGTGAATGCACAAATTTGTATATAGCAAGAGAGCTAATATTTAAAAAAACATGGGTTGTGGTTTACATAAATAACTTATATAGATTGATCACAATCAATATATGTTAATAAATAGGTATATAAGCGAAAGTTGGTAGTTTAGTACTGAATCGTTCCTGGACTATCCTATACAGTAAGCAGATTTTTTATTATTGCTTCTAAACCAAACTAATTAACATCGAGATACTAATATAATTGAAATTCACCTCTTTCAATCAATTTTATACACTTTTTTGATAATTTCATACGTTCAGTTCGTATTAACCATTGCAAGATTTAATACTTCTCGAATTTAATTTTTTTTTTCTTTTATAGAAAATTCAAATAAATTATTTGTCACAATTTATTCATGATTTCCTTCGACTTCGTCAGCTTTGGCCAACTACAATAGATGAAGTAGGTTATGTTGTCTCCACTCCTAATCTTTCACTCACGTTCTTCAATCCTTCATATTTTCTTTTATATCCTAAGAGAGTTGTTATTTTTATCCATTCTTAATATTATTAGCATGTGTATCCTTTTAGTTCCTTAAAACTATAGAGTATAAAAGCAATATAGAGCATACCGCTCCCTCTATTATACAACAGTTTATTGTGAACAGGCAAAACATTCTGATTTAATGACGATCATCGCGTTACTAATTAGATTATTTGGTAGAAGTTTTAATATATCGTTTTTCGAATCCTCACTTGTGGACTCAGCTAAAGTAAGCACATAAAGACGAGACAACCAAGGTCGAGAAGTAACTTTTGGATTTTCACACAAAATTTGAGAATGAAGGGCTTTTCTTATGTATCACGTAAAACGAGTATTGCAGATACCTTTGTACGGTATTCAAAACGTTTAAAATGATATTGAAAAATTAATTTTTAGCGTCATAAGTTAAGAATTGTGTTGAGCGTATCGGGTGTATAGTTTAAAATCGTTAGCAGTGGCGCAGGTTTACCCATCCTTCGGTTCCCCCCCCAGATTCTAAGCTTCTGAATTCATCGTAATTCTTTTATTTCATTCTAGTTACTCATATTTTCTTGGATTGTATCTTCAGTGTTTAATCTTTTCTATTCCCACTAATGACTGTTACTGCGTTTACTATTCTGGGATTTGTCCCGGCAATTTCATCTCGTTGTGTTAGTAGAGTATAGCAATTTAAACTTATATACATGCATATCAGACTCTACTTTACATTTGACCACCTTACATATCGAGTTCTTTCTATGTAGATTATATATAACACTCAAATAAACAATCTGCGTTAATTATAACCCTAAACCACTTAGTCTCTTAACTTCAACTGTAATTAACAACTTCTCATCCCAATCCTAACTAGAAACAATTTGGGGACTCATACAAATTTATTTACGTCCTTATGAGTGTTCAAGAAGACAGGGAGTATCTTTGTTTAGACAAGTTTATATGTCGTTATTTTCCGATTTCCACACAGAACATATAAAAGTCCTTAGTAGTTTAATTAATTATACTAAACCTATATACCCTTTTCACTACTATTATTATTTATTTTCTGTGACCTAGTCTTTTACAAACTCTTTTCTGACCGGATGATAATGGTCTAAAACTCACCGAAGTCGTTTCAATCTTCTCTTCGTACCATAATATCACCATGGCCATAACTTCTGTTAAAAAGCATGACTTCAAAGTGAAACAAGTTAGCCCCGTCAACATCTTTAATCGTTTAGTGGTTTTCTAGACGTTGATAGCATATTAAAATTATAAACCTCCTGTATCCCGTTCCTCATGAACTAATCATAGTTGTATTTACGATGTGTTTTGAACATGCTTTGACCGCTCCTCAATTTATTTAAACTTGTGTACATATGTAGCAATTTTACAAGCTCTCTTACTCATCATTTGTCATTCTCTTTTCCATTTCAAAAATGTCAATCTTTAATCATTGACAATATCCAAAGTCTTAATTTTTGATTAAGTTAGAACTGTCTTGTGATAGGTTACTTTACAGTTCCTACAAATAACCTAGACGGTTATAAGATTTAGTCATGGTCATTTAATCCTTTGGTTTGCATTATACGGAACTCCTGATCTAGTCATTTATTTCCCTTGTTTTTTGCTTGTTGTAATCGGTGAATCATGTTGGAAATCTTGGCTTTGTTGAATTTTCTAATAGAAAGCTCCATTATTGAAGGTTGTTAATTTATCATTCTTTTTGTCACAGTTGAATTCACAAGTCCACCACTGAAAACCTGGAAGCACTGGATGGCCGTTTCGTTCCAATATGGGACTCTTCAGTAGTGCTAAGTAGTGCTGGATTTGAGACATGTTTTATGATAATTGAAAAGACTTTTTGATGCATGGAATATTCTTGTTGTGGAATCATCGTGAAAAATACCAAACTGCTATATCTGCGTTCTAAATATCACTGCGCCACTTCTGTTGACCAAGATATCATCGAACATACTTAAAGGTTTATATATGTATATATATATATCACATCGACGTCGAAATGTGTATATTTCATGTTTAATTTCCAATTGATTAAAACCACTTTCACAGATTAGTTATTTCAAGTTTTTATTCATTATCTTATGACTACAAAATTGTGTTGTGTTTGTACACAGCTGGTTGTTTTCTCAATGTTAAAACTTCCTAGTTGAAATGCCACATTTCAATTATTGATTTAAGATAGTCGAACCAGTATGAATCCAACTTATTTTTATACTTTGTAGGATGAGTTTTCAATTTTTAGACATTTTATGTTAAAGGTTCTAACCACGGTTTTTTTAAAAAAATTAAGATTATACGATCTGAGGCCTAATATAATGTATTTACCAACCGAAATAGGGTATCGAAAGAAGACAAACTTCAAGCGACCAGTTGTGTGTTTATCAGTAACCGTAACTCTCATCTAGCAAAGTAATCTGATTCTCGTGTTTACTTTTATTGTTGAGGACATTAAAATACCCTGAATCATACACACGCACACATTATGCATGTTCAAATACTCGGGTAAAGATAAAAAGACGTAATGTGGTATTATTCGAAATATTAAACTAGATGAGATCATTTGGAATGTATCACTGTGTATGTATTTGTGTGTGTGTGTGTGGGGGGGAAGTAGCGTCTTGAGAATAAAGTTATTTTAGTTGGTATAATTATTGGCTTGTCACGGAAAGTATTATTCTTATTGTTATCTGGTACGTAATCCCATCATTACTAAGATATTTTGCAGATATTCAACAGTAGTTTGATAATCTGGTATATATTCACTTTGAATCTTTAATGTTTGATTTTGTTTGAGAAAATTATCAGTTCACTTGATCCATTCTTCTAGTATTTTTCAGCTCATTGCTCCGTCGTAAAAACTACTCTAGCCAGCCATATGGACCAGACACACTCGCTATTTTACTGATCGTAGATATTCAGTTTTAAAATTATCTTTTATCCTGCAAATTCATTTTGTCTTGTAAAATCATATTGTCCGTGTATAATCTTCTCTACCTCCACTGATAGTTTTACTACTTCTACTACCCTGGTATTTATCTTGATGTTTCCATCCTCTTGTGGTGATATAGTGTGGCAACTCCAACTGTTGCATATATTTTGAAGCTTCTACGTCACGTACCGATTGATGAAAACCAGGTAGCACTGAATAGCCATTTTTCCCTAGACTGGGACCTCTGAGAAGTTGACTGTTCAAGAACATGTAGGTTTGCAGATTAATGGTATAATTGCTCTGTATCACGAGTCGACTGAAAATGTACAATGTGAACTTTCTACTAAGTGGATGTTATACTATAAGATACAAAGATGCTCAATACTGTTAAGGGATCCTAAGCTGCAGTAAAACAACTTCTGAATGTTTCATCATTTCCAGTGTTTCTTCAGTGCATATCAGTTCATAATGCTTACACAATTCTTCACAAATATTCCTTAAATTACTGTAATTTGTTGTTTTGTCAATCTGTGCAATTAAATTTGAATAAATCTACTGTTGAATTTTATTATTTATTTATTTATTTATTTATTATTATTATTATTATTAATATAGGCTGCTTCCATATTCTATCCTCATTTACGTGAAATTATATATCAATTGAAACATATTAACGATTTCTTGAAGTTATGCTTTCCTGAAGCATTAAAGATGAATTATGATTCACAGTTAACTATTCCTATAACTGATAATTTGAAATCTCTTTTATCGTGTAAAGTAAGTGAATTATTGATTTTAATCTTATACTGAGTACATATTACACTTTTGATTTCCTTAAGATTTTTCCGTTTACACTTCGTCATAACAACTTTACTCTATCCTCAATCATTTTTATAACATACATTAAAACTAATAAAAATAATATATTTGTAATATCCAGATGAGTGGAAAAATCTAAATTTTAAATTTTCTGACGATTCATCCCTCAATGTAAGCTACTTCTTTAGAGGATCAAATCAAAACTTGGTAATGACATCTACAAATACATTGAAACTGTTCTTAGAAACTGATGGATTAGACAAATACACCATATGTGTATGACTTAATTGAGTTTTAGTCTATTTTGTTTAACTTATCGTTCGAAATATTTTTATCTGTCTGAATGTTTGGACTATTTTCCCCCCTAATACTCAACTAATTAACTATGATTGTTTTAAATTGCTTTAAGCTGATAAACAGTTGACTAAATGTTTGTAATGTTGAATTACAGCCTAATTATGTTAAAAAATGTCAGCTGGTTTAGGTTATCTAATTTCAAATAAATTTTATGCTTTGTTAAAGAAGCTTAATAGTCATACTACTGACTATGCTCAAATTTGTTGCCAGTAAGTTTTTTTTCCACATAACGAACATCTCTGATGATCCTAATTTTAGTAAAATAAAAGGACATCTCGCCTATTTCATTAGATTTCGAATTATGGTAGTAAGATCTAAAAGTAAAGAGCTTTTACGTGACTGGCCCCCAATGTAACTGCACTTTAGAAACTGCCATTACTATGTTAGTGCTATATGACCTTCAGCACTAAATTAGTTTCCACGAGAAGATATATCTTTCCATAATAAGAGCAGTCTACAAGTGGCAACTACTTGTAGCCTAAGTGTAGCTTAACTGAATATATAAATTATTTAGTTAGTTAAAGTAATATTTTGTGTCGTTTCGATGGTCAGCTTTAACCAATTATCCTAACTTTCACAAATCAAGATGACCTTCGCTTGAGTGCATAGTTTCATCAGATTGAAAGGGAAAAACAAAGTACTTGATTTCTTCATTGAAATGTCAGTTAAATGAAGTTTTGACTGCCCAATGAGCGAGGAAAAACATATCCAGTCAGGTACATCAAACGTAAATGATTATCCTACATACAAAAACGATTTGCTTTTGTTCCACTGTGAGCCTGCTTGTTGAATACTCTCTATTGTTTGATAATACACCGCCCTTCTGACTTATATATCTGTTTGTTGACTTTGAGTATTTGAGTTTAGGTGATCAATTATCCGTGATCTATTGGACCAATAATTACACTGTCTAGCCTCACTGTATTGATCTAGTGTCCAGAGTAGGACAGCTAAAACCCTGTTTTGTAATTGTAACAGTCGTATTTTCTACATTTTATATAGCTATACGACTCTTTGAATAAAATTATATTAAGGCAAAGTGATACGAAACCAAATTTATTTGTAAAATCAGTAATAATCAACCTATCGAAGTGTTCTCTCTACTTTCTAACTGTCCATTCTCTTGTATCACACTATTGTTTCATTTTATTTATTGAAATAATTTAGAAAAACATAGATATAAGCGAACAATATTGTTTTCGATTAGATCATCATCAGGCTTTACTCCAATATACAGTAATATTTATATGCATATATGAAATTATTAAACTAATAAAGACAGTTTATGAGACAATGATAACAATGGAAATGATTACATAAATAAACATAATAAGTGAAAAGTACAAATTGATAGTGTGATGACTGGTGTTACTAGTTTTTGATAAGAATAATAAAGGCTTAAATCAATGTTATCATTGACTCATAAAGTACCTTGATTGGTTTAATAATTTCGTATATGCATATAAATATTACTGTATATTAGAGTAAAGCCTGATGAGGATCTAATCGAAAACAATATTGTTCGCTTATATATGTTGTTCTAAATTTACAATATGGGAATATTTCAAATTTCGAAATAATTTAATCTGAAATGTTTTTTTTTCTGTTGTTTTAGCTTGGCTTATCTTTGATTTTTTGTTTGCTCGACGCATGTGCTCGTGCCTCCAACCCCACTGATCCATCAGATTTGTAGGTTTATTTGTACCTTTTCAATAAACTTGATCAATACTATATCAAACCAGTTAGTGAATAATAATAAATTAGGTTTTCATATTGAAAATTTTGTGCAGTCATATGAATATATATATATATATATATATATATATATATATATATATATCATAGCCCTTTGTTGTTTATTTCTTTTTTTAAATTTATGTTTATCAAGTATTCAATTTGGAGCGTATTTCAGTTATGCCAATTCATTTATTGATCGTACTTGCATTAATAATACCACTAATGAATGTGATTATGTTATGGAGTCATTTCCACATTTAGCTTCGATTCTATTGTTGTACATTAAACCATCGAAATATGGTCTGTTAACTAATGATCATTTGAACATATTTTGTGATTTAGCAACCAAAACTAATAAAACATCAAATAATGATATTACTAAATATACTACTATTACTACTACTACTACTAATAATAATGATAATAACAATATGGATGTGAATCAGCAACTATCAACTGGGATCATTGATTCAGCTACTGTTAACCATGCTTCAGTTTCATCGCTATCATCGTCAAGTTTGACACAATGCTGTGCTACAGTGAGTAATTCACATAACTCTGCCGTAAATAGTCATCATCATGCTACTCAACAACAACATCTTACTATGGACAATTCAGTACAGACTTCGAATTCACAGAATTCTGAAAATGTTTTGTCAAATATTACGAAAAATCCTGATGATCTATCTGTGTCAGTAGTTGGTTAGTAGTAAGTAGTAGTAGTAGATTCATATCTAATAAATACAAATACAGAATTTAGTAAGCAGGAGGAAGAGGAAAATGCAAAAATCCGTTTTATTTTCAAAGAAGTAAGTTCGTTTTCTTGTGTATTTATTTGTTATTTGCAGTTTTCTCCTCTTTTTATGCTTAATTTTGTCTGAATTCAATGTTGATCATTTCTAAATCTACTTGGGATTTCTGTAATTAGTGAATCGACCTGTCTATACAATAATCATATTCTACTATCATGTGAAATATAACTCTTCACTATTAGGTTGGGAAATATAATGGATTTTACAGATTTCCCTTCTTGTTTAATATCCCCTGGTCAATGCATGCTGTATCTCCGAAAAAGACCTACAAGATCCATTTATATTGGTCTGCTTGAACTTACTTAATCAATATAGGAAACTGGGACTATTTACACTTCGTGTATCTGGAGACCTGATTTCCACCCCTCATGACCTCTGGTGTATAACACCAAGTTCAAAAGAGAAACAGGCTCTCCTGAACTGAATTCTAATAGACAGTCGCCTATGTGTTGTCCGACTAAATGGGAACACTGAATGACAATGGTACAAATCGTTTTCTTTTTTATCTGTGCCTGGATTCCCACTGACTGTGATTCTGATGAACTAAAGGATGAGTTATATAAAAAGCTTTCTACACTATTAAAAAAAAGCCAAACGCTCGTATGTCGTAATCGTAGCACGAGACTTAAACACCAAAGTAGGCAGTTTAAACCAAAGTGGAAGACATGTAGGTGGGTCTTAGAGGCTCCGAACATAATAAGGAATGGAGATAGTTTAAACATAGATTAACGAAGTCTACTTAGTGTTTGCGGACAGTGGTGCAAAGCTGTGAAAGAGGTGGTAGCTATAGGCAATGGTAGATAATTTTTCATACTTATCAAAGAATCGGCTATTCAGTATGCAGGAGTTGGTGAGGATATTTTTGAAAAAGATGGGACAATGATCCACCTTTGACACTGGAAACTGGAACAATGAGCAAAATACTCTGGAGAGCAGTTTAATTTCTCTACACCTACTCTTTAGTCACTTAGTTTTTCTATGTATCTTGGATACGATATTCAAAGAAAACTTCCCAACTCTTATGGAATTAAAAACAGCCATATCTAGTGTGAAATGAGGGACGGCAGCAGGTCCAGTTTTAGCTGTTAAGGTGACTGAGATCTTGGTTAGTCTTGAAACTGGACGTAATCCCACCGAAATGGTTGCTATCACAGACTGTTCCGGTACATAAGAAAGGACAAAAATGTATCCAGTTCAAATAACATGGTTTTTAAAATATTAGCCTCAATAGTCATCCGAAACCTGACTAGGACTCATAAAGAGTAAACTCGGGAAAATCAGTTTGGTTCCAGACCTTGGTGAAGATTTGTGGACCAAATATTGGCTTTTTGCCAACTTCTAGAGCACACATACTTACCGACTCCCAACCACAATTGCATTTCTCTCTAAGGTAACATTTGTTTCTCCAGATCGACAGGTTATATGCCAGCGTTTGTCCACTGTAAGGCCTAGCAAAGAAATACATTAATCGTGTACAAGCTTTCTACTCAAACACCACTGGGCGAGTAAGAGCATGTGGCTAACTATCACCGGAGTTGAAAAGTCGAAGTTATGTTCGTCAGCATTGTTTGCTCTCCCTATTTTTTTCTTTAAGAAGACCAGTTGCTGATGATGGCCTTTGTGTAAACAACATACATATGATTTAATCGAGTATATACAAATTACAGTGACTAGGTTTTATGAATTGAGTATTTTTCAAGGCAGACAAATTATAGTAAGAATGTATTGGGAGTTCATGAGCAGAGCTTACACTGAATAATTCAGTGAATCGTAAATTCATTTTAATCGATTTTGATTTGCCTTTTCGTAAGTTGCATTTGGGGATAGCTCACTGCCAACACATTCCGTAACGATAAGACAATAGGTTGTGGGGTTGTTTCCCTGACTGGTATGTATCCTCTGCCCTTTGAAGTTGCTATTGCTGTTTATTTAACTTCTCCGAGAGAATCTATAATGCTGCAACCTTATGATCCTGTATCGGTATTATTCGATCACTGTTCAGAAAATGTAACTTTACTGAAAACACTGTATTTCGTTATAAGATGTCCAACTATGATACTGTTAACAAGCTTCCTGTACGCTAGTCCAACTGGGTAATTGATTATGAAGAAAGCTTTTGATTGTCCACCTGAATCGAGAAGTAACTGCACCGCAAAGATATATATATATATATATATATATATATTTGCGGTACAATATTCGTGATAAATTAACTATGTGATGTTCTCCGCTTTTCAACTATTTTCTAATAATATTTATTTGTGGTTAACATCATATTCACATATCACAATCGCATAATTTCCTGTAATATATTTTCACATTTTAATATGATTAATTTCAGTTTTTCATTATAATATTGTGTTATATTCTATCTCTAGGTTTCGTTTATTGATCATTCGAACATTGAACAATTAAATGGATCATGTGTTGTAAACACCGCCGTTTTCTCATTTGTTTTTCTTTAAAATTTTAAGTGTAATTCTTTTGCTCTTCCGTAAGAAAATCACATCACACAAGAAAGAGTGGAAAATAACTTTATTCATTGTATTCAACTAGATAGTGCGATTGTATAATTATTTTCGACATTTGATCATCGTTCTATGACGATACAATTTTATGGTGATTCATCATGAGGATTTTGTCATTAGAATGAATTGTTTAACCTCATAAAAATGTATTTCATACAATCAAATAAAATATCTTTACATTTGTTTATCCATTTGTTCTAATGTAATTTATGATATACGTCTCTATGATATATATATATATATATATATATATATATATATATATATATATATTTACAGAAATTATTATTATTCTGTTAAATTTAAACTCAACCGATCATGCAATAAATAGATCACCTTTGGGTTCTCCTTTCCTTTTGGTATTTCATGAATTCTCTTATTCTTATCCACCCTGAAATGAAATAACAGGTGTATAATTTATTTTTTACCAACTTTAATGTATAAAACATTTACACCATCACCGTTCTCTTTTAGTAGTTTCTTCTCTTCCACATACTCGTGCGTCTGTTGCCTGACTTTCTTTTCAGTTTCGATGACGCCATTAGTAAAGTTTGCATGTCTTTTTGTTGCTTAACACCGACATCCCCACTGTGTATTTTTTTTCGTTTTAATAATTGTGAAATAACCTTTTGAATAAAAAGAATGGAAATTTTGTTTGTTGTTCTCTCTTGTCGAACCATGTTTTACTCGAGATCGGGGTAGAGGGAAGAGTTAATTGTCTAATCGGTTCGTTTGTATATTTTGTAAGTAGTTTTCGTCATTAACATAGAATTTATTTGAAAATTTGAAGCGTAGTACTTGATGCTTTTGGCGTTCTACTTTAACACGAGTAGGTATGGATTCAAAAGGTTACGTTGAATTAAGATCATTTATAAATTTCTGGCTTCGTGTCAAGCACGATGTTTTTAGATTACTGCGTTGAAACCCCAGTGTGGTCCATATTTCCAGCTGGTTGTGTAATATTACTTATATTTATAAGTTTGTTATAACTTGTTGGGAATATTGACTTATAGTCACTTTGTGAGCTATAGCTCAGTGGTTAAATCACTCTCCTACCAGCCACGGAATTAAAATTCTGAACTTTCTTTCATCTGTTTTAATTTTATCGACTGAGTGGTACTTTTTAAATCTAGATCATAAGTTCAGTCAGTTGTCTCTATTATATTTTCTAATTGTTTAGCGTTTTTTTGGATACTATAATTTGCTCAACTTTTCCTGAATCAGAACATGAATTCAAAGAGAATAATGTCTATTCTAATAAAACCAAAAAGCAGAGATATATTAATAAAATCATTTGAGATTATATAGGATTCACTTAAGAGTTCCCAGAATCTCAATTTGTCTGTTATCGTTGATTGGTTGAAAAGAGATCAGTCAATGTATTTCGATTTGAATCTGATCTGTTATGATGATTAGGAGTATTTGAGTTATAGTATGAACTAAGAATCCCAGAAATAACGTAATCGGATCAAGAAGTACTAGATAAGCACAAACGAATGTACTGTATTTGGAATTCGAAATCAAGCATTCAACAAATACAAAGGAATCATTAGTTCATTCAAACACCACATCTGTGTATACAAAATAGCACTGTCCTACTAATATCTCTAATTGTTTAACATGTAGAAAGGCTAGTTGTATATATGTTTCTGTAATACTACAGCTATTGTTTTAATCAATAAATACATAAAATTCATTTGAAACTTCAGTTAATGACTAGCTTCACCTATCTGTTTTGGGTCCTAGATTTTAACTGAATAAACATAATCTTTAATGTTAACTACCAACATTCTTGCTAACGTTATAGCCTAGTATGTTGAATTTATATTTATCATGTGATGTTTAATCATTTTAATACACGTCCTCAATCATCTATTAAGTCATAGATTTTAGTTGAACAAATCAATTTTTTTTTCAAAAAACTTCAATGTGTATGTGCTGTCGACAAATGCTGAAAAAATTAGTCAGTTTTTGGAATGAGACGTTTAACCTATGAATATTTTGCTAATGTGTTTACTGAAAAATTTAGTTTTTTAATAGTTGGATTCAAGAGTCGATTAAAGCTAGACCACCATTGAAAACCTGAAAGTACTGAACGGCCGTTTCGTCTTAATATGAGACTTCTCAACAGTGCATACCCACAATCCTGCACACGGGCCTGTAACCCAGGACTTTCGGTCTCGCGTGGGAACTCTTAACCTACTGGACCACTGAAGGCCCTGGGTTCGAATCCCGTCAATGGGATCGTGTATGTGCACCGCCGAGGAGTCCCATACTAGGACGAAACGGCCGTCCAGTGCTTCCAGGTTTTCCATGGTGGTCTAGCTCCACTTACTCATGATTTCAACTGGTGAAATTTACATTTCTTAAGTCAGTGTATTGTGCTTTCAATACTAACCTGGTTATTTATTCTATTGAGATATCAGCTCACTGAAGACAATGGTGTACAGTGGTGCAATTTCGTGTATTCTATTGATTTGTAATTTTGTTTAATTGAAGGAACTTTTCACCATAGACCCACTATTTCACTGAACCAGAGAAGTTAAATGGTACTTTGAAACAAGGAAGTAGTGGATGGAAAGATAGATCCCTCAGGTTTCCCATCGTTCGTGTTATTTTTATACCACTAAGTTGAAATTTAGTAATCTATATTTCGAACTTCATTCAGTCCTCTCTTTAGTGACTAATTTCAAGAAATGATTTATGTAGTTTACGTGGGTAGCTTGACTATTGGGGTTGAATCATGTCTAGTATGATACGATGTCTACACAATATTATGAACTGATTGAAATTAGGAATGATGGATTTTGATTCAAATGAACTATAAATAACCATTGGGTTGAGAGATCTCAAGATTTTGGTTTTTATTTTGTGTATGGTCGTGCGCGGACATCATTTGTGAGTATGAAATGATTGCTTCCTCATTTTTAGCAGTTATATGTCAAACGTTAGTTCGTGAATAAAATACAAAAATACCATATTATGATACAGTATTTAACTTCCATATTCTTGATTGAAATGTACAATGAAATTGTTCAGTCGTACAATAAATGTCAGCATCAATTTTAATGAATCTACTTCATATTAAAGAAGCAATAACCTATTGAAGAAGCAAGAAAATCTAAAAGTTATTAAAAAATAAGTAGCTTATCGTATGTTTAACCTTCTAGATCATGTCAATTGATGATGTAAAGGTTGTATTTTATAATTTAATTGATTCATTATACAAATCATTTCACTTCAAAAATATATTTCATTTAGCATAAATTCAGTACCTCAACTTGTCAAGTTATGTTCTATCAGTAAACATAAGAAAATGAGCAAAATTTAATTGGGGAATAATATAAACGATAGAGCGTCTACCAAATAAAGGACGAATATTCTGCATAGAGCAATTAGGTCTGCTCCACGTTTCATCCATAAAATGTGACGTTTGAAAATAGAGTATATTCATAGGTTACTGGCATTTGGTCAGAGACCCCTTTGAAATGTTATCGTCTCATGTTGGGGGACTTAAGGTTTAATGCCGGGTACTGGATAAAAATGAAAAATCGGTTGATAATTGTTAAGTCTTGCTGATTTGGACGCTATATTCGTTCCTAAGCTATTCTGATAACCCACACGCTAGAACTATACAGCGACCTGAATGCTCCATCGTGCTCTGATTGGCTAGGACTCTTCGGCTCCTTTTGAGCCTCTGGAGGCTCCGTTGAAGTTCTCCGAAAGCCAACTCAACAATAATGTAGTGAATCTTGATTGGCCGGAGTGATTGAGATATGTATCGTGAATGATTAACCACGATATCCCTCTAGGTGTGATGTTTTCTGGTTTTGGAGAAGATTGGAAAAATTCAATAAAATATCACGTAGTATTACGTTTGAGTGCAAAGGGTACACATTATTGGCTCAACGGTCAACTTATGAAATTCCATTCCTGTAGTCAGCTTGATCTCTGAACATGTAAAAATATAGTAGTACAGTGACCCTCTTACTTCAAATCTGTTACTGCCAGAAAAGTGGTTGCAGGCAATCTTGATTTTTGTTAATTTTGTAAAAATGTATCAGAATTACCGGTGATTTTATGAAAAACTCCCTAATTTAATCATCGAACAAAGTAGAAATATAGATTTTCTTTTAAATCACAGTCATTGGTATATCGTGTCAAGTGCTTGATATACCTCGAAGCAACATGTGATCATAGTGAATTGGAAGTTGACCGAAACAGATGATTTAGCGGGGCACAACCCATGAATAACTTAGATATATTTTGCTAATGTGTATGAGCGAGCAAATACAGAGGCGTTTTTATAGTCAAATAGAATTAAGGCGCAGTTAGGCTAGGCAAAGGCAATTAATAGGATTTGAGCATATATACATATGAAGAGAATGATTTATCGAGAGATTTTAAACTAGAGAGAAATATGTGCATAGGCTGTCACATATGATCAAGCTTACATGTTTATACAGATACGAATTGTTATTGTCCGAATAACATTATTTGTTAAATAAGTTAATAAAAGGTCTCGACAAAATTAACCGTGATCAAATTTAGTTGAAGGAGAGTTGCTATAACAGAAGATAGATCTTTAGAATCGAATATACAACCAAGTATAGTTACCATTTTACCGAGTAATTAAAATTATGTACGGACAAAATATACTTCAGTTCCATAATCTGACCAAGTAAATAAGTTATACCATATGCTAATTACCAATCAGAAATAATCTGGTTCACCAAATAGCAATACAGAATTTTCTAAAGTTTCTCCCGAGTTATTAAAAATATGTCCTTGTTTTAAAGTATTTGCCAAGCAAACGTTTAGTTAATGATATAAACAAATTGCAGCACAAGGCCTAGTGACTTTTTTTCATCTTAAAAACCATTCAGATTATTTTTCATTGAAGAACGGTTGCGCATTATCTCAACTAAAGTTTTAAA